GTAATTTTCACCATTAAAGGTGAAATTGTTGCATTTCAGAACCAGAGTGAGCAGCTGGACTAAACATTCGGTAGGTGGTTCTAAGGTGTTGCGATAGTCCCATATTTCCTTACACGATTGTATTCCGTCATCATGAGGTATGTTGGTATACAATGAGGTGACATCTAAAGTGACAAGGAGGGTTTCCGGAGGAAGAGGGTTCATGGATTCCATTTTACGAAGATAATCTGTTGTGTCTTGAATGTGAGAAGGAAGATTTTCTACATGAGATCTTAAATGAAAGTCTACGAATTCCGAGATTTTCTCAGTCGGGTGGCCGTTTGCGGATACAATGGGTCTACCAGGGTTGTTAACCTTGTGTATTTTGGGAAGAAGAAACAATCGACCAGGCTTGGCGTTCTCTGGTTTTAAATATCCGATTGTATCCTTATCTATGTGAACGTCATCGTGCATGGTTTGTAACGCAGTAATAATTTTGGAACTAAACTCGGAAGTAGGGTCATAGTCAAGCTTCTTATAAAATCTCTCATCAGAGAGCTGACGCTCTGCTTCCGCGATGTAGTTAGCTTTGTCCATTATCACAACGGCACTTCCCTTGTCAGCTGGTTTTTTCACAATATCATCTCGGTTTCTCAGCGATTGTATGGCTTTTTTCTCGTCAGAAGAGGTGTTATAAAATGACGAGTACTTGTTGCAAGCTAGATGAACAACATCCGATTTGATTTTATCGATAACATCTTCCAGTGTAGCAGATTTACTAGGTTTAGGAATCCATGAACTCTTCTTTTTAAAATGCGGAATTCTGATTTCTTCCTCCGAGTCAGACGTGTCTGAGTCTTCCTCATTATCCTTGTTACCAAAATATTCTTTGATTCTGAGGGTTCTGGCAAAGTAATTAAGGTCATCTTCCAGCTTCATATTATCTATGTTACTGGGAGTAGGGCAAAAATTCAAACCATTAGATAAGACTTTAATTTCGTCCTCAGTTAAAGAGACTGTTGATAAATTGACAACCGTGTTGTTGGAATTGACCGGAATTTGACTTTTTCTTCGAAATCTACGGTTGCGAGGCTTTTTATTTTTATTTGAATTTTTTGAAGGTCTGATTAAAGGGTGATTAATTTGCACACCATCACGTTTAAATTTGTTAATCTGTTTGACGTGGAGCTTATGTGATTCAATACGTTTGATATCACCAAGACGTACTTGAATTTCGTCAAGTTCAAGATCAGACAATTGTTCACGAGATCGGCAGTGCAAGTTATCACGAAGTTTATATAAATAATTTACTTGATGAATTGCTTCTTGGCGTAAAAGATCTATCAGACTAAAAGAACTATTCTCAGAATTCCGCATTTTAAAAAGAAGAGTTCATGGATTCCTAAACCTAGTAAATCTGCTACACTGGAAGATGTTATCGATAAAATCAAATCGGATGTTGTTCATCTAGCTAGCAACAAGTAATCGTCATTTTATAACACCTCTTCTGACGAGAAAAAAGCCATACAATCGCTGAGAAACCGAGATGATATTGTGATTAAACCAGCTGACAAAGGAAGTGCCGTTGTGATAATGGACAAAGCTAACTACATCGCGGAAGCAGAGCGTCAGCTCTCTGATGAGAGATTTTATAAGAAGCTTGACTATGACCCTACTTCCGAGTTTAGTTCCAAAATTATTACTGCGTTACAAACCATGCACGATGACGGTCACATAGATGAGGATACAATCGGATATTTAAAACCAGAGAACGCCAAGCCTGGTCGATTGTATCTTCTTCCAGAAATACACAAGGTTAACAACCCTGGTAGACCCATTGTATCCGCAAACGGCCACCCGACTGAGAAAATCTCGGAATTCGTAGACTTTCATTTAAGATCTCATGTAGAAAATCTTCCTTCTCACATTCAAGACACAACAGATTATCTTCGTAAAATGGAATCCATGAACCCTCTTCCTCCGGAAACCCTCCTTGTCACTTTAGATGTCACCTCATTGTATACCAACATACCTCATGATGACCGAATACAATCGTGTAAGGAAATATGGGACTCTCGCAACACCTTAGAACCACCTACCGAATGTTTAGTCCAGCTGCTCACTCTGGTTCTGAAATGCAACAATTTCACCTTTAATGGTGAAAATTACCTTCAGATAAACGGGACAGCGATGGGGACGAAAATGGCACCGTCGTACGCCAATATTTTCATGGGAAAATTAGAGAAACAAATTATTTCAACATCTTTATCCAAACCTCTGTCTTGGTTCCGTTTCATCGATGATGTTGACATGAAATGGATTGAATCCCAACAAAAATTGGATGATTTTATCAGACATGCAAACAACGCACACCAGTCAATTAAATTTACATATGAAATTTCCGACTCCAAAATATCTTTCTTAGACACTACTACATCTATTAAGGACGGTGTCATATCAACAGATCTCTACTGTAAACCTACAGATAAACATCAGTACCTTTCTCCCCAAAGCTGTCACCCCAAACAAAAAGTATCCCGTACAGTCAAGCTCTCAGAGTAAAGCGGATTTGCTCCTCTGAGGAGGCTGTCACTAAAAGGTTACAGGAACTTCGCGGTTTTTTGACCAAACGAGGTTATAAGAAATTGGACATAGATAAGGGATTTGCGCGTGCTAATAACAACAGCCGCAATGACCTATTACAGTACAAACAGAAGAGGCGCAACAAAATAGTTCCGTTTGTTTTAACATACAATCCCGCCTTCACTAACCTTTCACGTTTGATCCGTGCCAATTGGCAAACTATTGCCAATCACCCAAAATTATCCAAGATCTTTCCCAATCCTCCTGTCTTAGCTTTTCGGAGACCAGCAAGTCTGAAAGACTTATTTGTGAGAGCTGACGTCTCCTCTAATAAAAGCTGTTCAACTGCAGGATGGTGCAAGTCGTGTGGTAACAGACGATGTCTGACTTGCCAACAAATACTGAATACTCAAACATTTACTTGCCACTCCACTGGGTCTGTGTACACTATATTTTGTAATGTAACTTGCAAAACACAGAATGTTATATACCTTCTTCAGTGTCGATGTGGCATGCAGTATATTGGCGAGACAGAACAGCCTTTCAACAAACGCATGAATGGTCATCGAAGTGTTTCACCTGCAAGCCCGACCTCCCCGTAAGTCGTCATTTGAGATCACCTGGGCACGCCCAAGCTGATCTCAAAAACCTTACAATCACAATCATAGACCACAACGAGGGTTGGTCAAGGGCCGAAAGACTTGCTCGGGAAAGGTTTTGGATAAGAAAGCTAAGGACAGTTTCCCCAGAGGGTATAAATGAAAAAACATAGAATAAGTCACTCATTTTCCCTACCATCACTCATTTCCCTGACATCATTTGTTTCCAGTTACTCCGGCTTCCTTACTTGACTCTTACAGTTTTAAGGATTCTTTTGGAATTTTTGGAATTTTACTAGTTTAAATACCAGGGTTCTTTTCATTTGGTAGGGATATACAAGTACGCATCCATGTCCAACTTTTAACCTTAGCCCAAATTTACTATTATTTTTTCTTTTCATTATAAAACTGCTATTTATTTGGAATGATAAATACGCAGCCTCTGTTTGTCATATTTTACCAGCTTATATCGATCAGTGCTGTTCTTTTGGGAATGTATTTACACGCAGTTGTTGTTACATCTTAACTGGACTTTTGGAATTTTAAAGTTGTGCCAGTTCATATCTATAATTACTATTTTCATTTTAGGCATGTCTTTGAGTCGTTTTTTGGAAATTTTAAAAATTTATTAGCATCTCTACATATGATGTTCGGGTGAAACTGTTTCACTTTTTTTATTGTATAGAATTCAAGATTGCTATAGTTTAATAATCAGAATAGATTTATCTGATTCATTTTACATCGTGCTCATATTGATGAAGGATATCTGTTATCCGAAATATTTATAGTTACATTTGTTCGTTTATTGTCATTTTTTGGTGATGTTGTACCCTTTTAGACTGGTTATATATATATATATATTCAATTAACTACAAACTGGGTCGAGACCAATTCAAATAGACAAATTTATAAAATGTAAATGAATATCAGAATATCAGTACATTACTGATATTTGAGTAGGTTTTTAAGCAACTTTAAGTTAAAGATAAACTATAATTCGGTTTACAGACTCATTATAAGGAGTACATGTCGATATGGTATGGTCAACTGGCCTTAACTATAATTTCATTGCTCTATGATTAAGTTTACTATTCGTGCTCTGGTCAGTTTATCAGTCACAATAAGTAAAAGGCAACTTTATTGGGCCTTTGGAATCATTCTAAGGAGTATATGTCCTTGGTCTTATTTTCAATGTACATTGATGAAGGTTTTTTTTTAATCATCACATACTTTTATTTTCAATTACTGCATATTTTTAACATCCATTTGAGAATTTGTTTCTTGAAACATTTAGTTGGGCCCTTTCTCAAAGACTTTCAACATGTTATTCCGTTATGATCAATACAGCTGGAGAGACAATATCAGCTTGCCGTCCACTAAAGGTCACATTTGTTTTAAAATAAGACTTTGGAAGATGGACATTCGATAAGAAAGAATAAGTATAGACTTAGCAATATAATGTCTGTGAACAAAATTTTATATATAAAAGATACAAGTAGAACTCTATAACGTTAAATTTGTATATTTAATTATTTGTTTTTATGCTCGTTTGTTTCTCAATTTCATGCTTAGCTAGCAGCTGGATTTGAGGCGTCTTCTTCAAATCATGATATTATTAATTGTCCCGTTTTTCCAATGCATTGTTAAGCATCTATAAATATTGAATTATTTTGGTTTAAAAAAACCATCGAGTACGGGCATAAGTTACAATCATTTGCTGTTTCCAATTATTATATTTTCGTTATCTATGAATTTGCCGGATTGTTTTCGAAAAAAAAAGTGATAATTATTAACTGATATTCACAAATATATGAAAAAAGCCTCACTACAACATATCAAAAGAAGGTTCTTGCAAAACAAAGTTTAGTTGGGAAAATGAGTTACAGGAATACAATACTCTGTATTTTCACTGTGTTTTCATCGGACACTAAGTAGTCCTTTGTTTTATTTTATAATGTAGTTTTACATGTTTGATCACAATAAAATCTGTGTGAAACAGATCTTTGTTCATATGACATATTTAATTTGTCTAAAAAATGTAAAGAGGCTCGATCTGTGTTATACAAGCAGATATTAATATCAGTTTCCGGAACAACAACTGTATTTCTTATTTTTTAATATAAAAGATAAAACATTATATCGAAGCAATTACACCTTTGAGGCATTGAAATCTTCCATCCTTCATTTTCAAGTCTGCAGTTCGTCTTCCGTACTTTGTATTCGAGTTGTAATATTATCTGATGTATTATCTCTGTATATCTGACATCCGGAAGAAATTCCATCAGATTGTTGATGTCGTCGTTTCCTTTTTTTACCTATATAAAAACCAGACACAACTATTAATTCAGATTTTCTTTAAGAGTTCGAAGAAAAAATAGTAAACTTGCTGTGTTATTTCACAGACAACCTCAAGCAGTGATTTATCGGTTCAAATATCATTTTCTTTAAAAACCTACCATCTAACAACGTCCCACGCGTAAAACTGGGAGACAAACGTAATTAATATAAACTTGTCATCTACCTAATCTCACAGGAAATCATTTAATTTTCAAAGGTAAGAGTGGGAGATACAGGGATAGACGTGATGTTTATAAAGGAAACATATCTAATGGCTGAATTAACTCTTAGGAGGATTTCAAAAAGAAGCCCGAATCCTTTTATTAGCAATCACTCAATGCTATATTGACTACGACTTAAAACTTTAGAATAATTGCACTCAAGTTTGGTTGGAATTTATTAGAGGTTTCAATTGAGCTAACAAAAAATACAGTAAAACTCATTTAATATATCAGCCTTATAAACGAATTTGGTACGCAAGACGTGCTTTTTGTCTACAAACGACTCTTCAGAATTTTAAAACATTTTAAGGCCTAGTCAATTATAAAGTTGGTGAACATTGAAAACAAATCCAAAACATTGGTAATCTAGGCCAGGTGAAGAGACATCTTACATTTTCAACTAATTTTCAATATATTTTCGACTATTAGCTTTTAATGAAAATGACAATATCAATATATATTTTTTCAGCATAGAATTGCTCTTTGAATGTAGCTAAATATTGACCTGAATGACTGTTCAAGATTACCATTTTGTGCAATTTACCTATACGTTCGATTGATAGTAGCTTTGATCATGTTGGCTGATATGAAAATTAACATACTGATATAGACGGTTGTTCTTCCGTATGTTAAAGCGATTTCAGAGATGAACTTTAGAAACCACTACGGTAGATGAACGTCAATTAGAAAAACGAACACTGGACTATTGGTGGCAGGTGTTCGAAAAAAACGTCAGGTGATTTTGTCAAAACATATTTTTAGCTCACATGGCCCATAGGGCCAAGTGAACTTTTCTCATCACTTGGCGTCCGACGTCCGTCGTTAACTTTTACAAAAAACTTCTCCTCTGAAACTACTTGGCCAAAGTTACCCAAACTTTGCCTCAGTCGCCATGAGAGTATCTAGTTTTAAAAATGTGTCCGATGACCCGACCCGCCAACCAAGATAGCCGTTATGGCTAAAAATAGAGCAGAGAGGTAAAATGTAGATTTTGGCTTATATCTCCGAAGCATTTAGAGCAAATCTGACGGTGTAAAATTGTTCATCAGGTCAAGATCTATTTGCCCTGAAATTTTCAGACAAATCAGATAACCTGTTGTTGGGTTGCTGCACCTGAATTGGTAATTTTAAGAACATTTTGCAGTTTCTGGTTATTATCTTGAATATTATTATAGATAGAATAATGAGCTCTACCAATTGTCTATATACATCAAAACTGTTAGACAAATTCTTATAGGCGTTATTGCCCATAAATGACAAATTTTACCATTTTTTTTTTCATTTTTTCCTGTTATCACGAAAACTATAATATTTAGAGAGAAACATTTTTTTTCCCGTTATGCCTTATATGATTTAAATTATACACTTTAAATCACAAAAATGATCAGCAAGGCAAGATCTATTAAAAAGTCAAATTTTGCCGATATAGTTAGTAGACTGTCACTCTTCATAGGAATGATTGTCCATAAATGAGGATTTTTTTACCCTCTTTTGTGTTTTGAGCAAAAACTAAAGAAGATAGAGAGAAAATAAACAGACTAAAAGATCAGTAATACAAGATCAACAAAATAGAGATTTTTGTCATGAAGTCTATTCTCTTCTACATTGTTGGAGAGTGTCCTTTGTTTGACATGCACATAGACCAAGGTGAGCGACACAGGCTCTTGAGAGCCTCTAGTTAAACAATGACAGCTGCACCCGCGTTCTGTACAATGTTTCAAGCGTTTGAACACTGCTCATTCATGTTTTTTATAACATTTTGTTGTTGTGTTGGTTGTTTATTTTTTTTCTATTAGTATATCATTATAAATGGAAAAGACGGAATATGGTGCATACATTCATTACACAAAATCTGTACAAGCACTTAACAAAATCCAAAGCAAAAGACAGCGCATTTATTGTTGTTAACTGTTTCTGATTGTTTTCGATTTATCTTATTTCTATCTTTTTGATCATTTTTTAATTTCATTGATTTATTTAATTTTGCTTTAAACCATCTGCAAGTTTTAACTTTATGTTTCATTTAATGTTGTACCAAATAGTCACAATATAATGAACTTATACTTGCCTGATTTTACAATGAAGCATATGGCAAAAACCAAAACAATAAAGAAGGCACAAACAACAATGGCAATGGACGTGTTATCAATCTTCTGTAAATCTGAAAATATCAATTGTCGAAATACAAATTGAATTAGTGTCAAATACCTACCATTTATCAGTTGCTGGGTTACATTTAAAAGAATTAACAAAAAACCAAAAATGATCCACATATATATTTATAACAAAATACGCTTTCCTTGTAAACGAACATAACCTCTCTCCGTTGTGGGTTTTCCACTGTGGTTACTACTTAACTATGACTCTTGATATTATAGTGACCTCTGTTCACTACTTCACACATTTACTCAGGCACATATTTCTTTGTAGACATGTGTATCGTTTATCGTTCGGTTGGTTGATATTCATTGCGTTGTTTGATAGTCGATCGTTTGATTTTGTCAAGTTTTATTAAATTCCCCCGTTTTTATTTTACCTTGGAGTTATTTTTGTTAATACTTTTTTTTATGAAAATCAAAGATTATTGCTAAGGCCGTTTCTTTGTACATTGTTATCTTTTTAGTTTATCGTCCAACATAGTTGAAGACTCTCGAACACCTCTCAAGATGAAGAACAACAGAGACGCAGTTGCTTGACAATGTTTCTTGTATTTCATAGTATCTTTGATGGAATTATTCCCTTTATTTTCTAATGTTGGACAATTTCCATTAAAACATTATTGTTAAACAAAAGTTTATTTTAGGATGTTTTTCCTGTAGCAACTTTTTCTGTATTGACGTGATTTAAATTTAATATATTAACTGTCTTCGGTATTGACGTGGTTTGAATTATACATATCATCTATCTTCAGTTTAAAAATTATGTAATTGTAGTATAACTATGATTGAAGCTCTCTGGCTATTCAGTATGTCTAGGTGCTAATGATATTGTTATTCCCAAACGTTTTTCTTATATTTGACTTCCTATGAAAGAGACGCGAAAGATACCAAAGGGATATTCAAACTCTTGGGTCGAAAACAAACTGCAATGTCATGGCAAAATAACGACAAACGACGAAAAGAAAGATAACAGTACAAAACAAAAACATACAAAACTAAAGACTGAACAACAAGAGCACGAACACGAACCCCACCAAAAACCGGGGGATCACAGGTGCTTAGAAAGGGTATGCAAATTTTTCTTCACATGTTGCACCCGTCGTGTTGCTCATGTTAGTACAAACCTGATGATAAGTCTAATTTGGTAGATCACATTCGAGAAAAAAGATGACGAGATTGTGGTTACAACAATTTGAACATATCCGTCGTCTTAAGGTGTCAGGTGTTACTGATGAAAGTTATTTCCAATACAAGTTACCTAAAATGGTCAGAAATGATCTTATACTATCATACTGCAATGATATCTACTAGAAAACATGGCTTACTACCATGTAATAAACAAGACGCTCTGTTATTATTTGGATGGATTTAAGTCGTACAAGGTTTATTAACATGGTTCATTTGAGTTCCTTATTTAAATATTCGAAATGAAATGCAAGAGTCGAACAAATAGTTAAATAATGTTTGCGGACTGATCGTACTAAGAATACTTTGGTAGGAATTTGCAATTGGTCGTTTAATAAGTTATCAACTTTTAAATCGCCGCCTGATTATTAAAATCAATACTCATAACATGAAATAATCTACCTGAATTATGAAGACAATCATCAGCTGGAAAACAGTTTTCTTTCTTGGAACATTGATGTTCATCCCACGTAAGAAATGATTTTCCCGAAAAATCTGAAGTACATGAATGGAGATCAGACTCCAGACTCCATGATTCTTTACATCGATCTAAATCAAAGGACAATACTCTGTTATAACAAGATTTCAGTAAAAGTAAGTTTAGCATTGAATTGAATATATTTTCTTCGATGATATCCTATGTGTTTGTCGTTTTAGGTGTTTGTATTGCCGTAGACTGTAGGACATCAAGTTTAACCGATACATGCTTTAGCATGTTTTTTTATATTTGTAAAACCAGCTCATTTTTGGTTGTTACATGTTACATGATTTGTTAAAACCTATAAAACAACATCAATGTAAATATAAATTTGTTTTAGATTAAGGTTTGATTTTTCTATTAATCTTATTAACATCGGGTAATGACCGCATCTGATGACGATTATCACTAAAACACGTATCGTGCGCAAATAAACAATTATCAATACATGAAATTTAACCTGTTTCAGATTAATCTCAAATAGAACTGTTTCGTCGTCAGTTTTCGGGAGAGCTTTTTCAGACACCTTGTTTTCGTGACTGTACTTGAAAAACTCAAAACCTCGTATATCTGGTTACTTGAAAACCTAAATTTAGTATTCAATATGTAGGACAAAAAGAGCGTTAGTTTTCCCCATGAACACAAGAACATCTATATCGTTTCAGGTGACCATAGAAATTCAGAATTATGATTTACCAATAAGTATAATGTCTTTTTTGTTGACGTCTTTCGTTAAATTTTTCTTTATGTAATGTTTTTGTCAGTTGTGATGTATGTTTACACAGTTTTGATTGCTGGATCCCAATTATTGTCACAATAACCTATTATTTCTGTTGCTCATCCAATTTTGTCAATATAGCGGAACTATAAACAACTGTTATACAAGTGGGAGGCTAGCTATAAAACCAGAGTTAACTGACAATTTTGCTTGTACCAAGTCAGGAATATGACAATTGTTTCCCATTCGTTCCGTTCATTGATAGCGTTTGATTTTGTTTTCATGGACTTCCCGTTTTTTAATTTACTTTTGTTTTCATTTTTAGAGAATGATAATCACAACACTAAATTTAAACAAGCCCAGCCTCTCAAAACTGTCCGACAACATTCAAGCAAACACCACTTATTCTTGGCTCCATTACTTTCTATGTTAAATTCTTCCATTTCAAGCATTAATATCTCTTTCTTTTGTTTACGTTCAAATAAAGCGATAGCAATTTCATATCAAATCGTGTATTGTTCTGATAAAATAAACATACCTTTAATTGTATATAGGAGCCTTCTCGGAACTTTGGAAGGACAAAACAGGTACTTCAGATCTGAGAGAGAGACTTTTTATACCTCACTTTTCCATATAAGTTCTGCTTTTTATGAAGGCCGAATGGTGCCCTGTAATTGTTTGTCCTCTAATCTCTATGGATAGTTGTCTCACTTGCAACAAAACCACATCTCCTTATTTATATATAAAACGCTTAATATATCATACATGTCCCTTTTTGGAACATTGTTTTGACATTTCGTTGACCTTAAACACATTCAAAGCAATACTTGCCTTCCTGTTCATCACTGCCGTCTTTACAGTGAGTAAACCCATCACAGATATACCAAAAAGGTTTCCCCCAATTATAGTGATATCGGGGTAATGTTGGGGATATACATGTCCCGTCTCCACATAGAAAACATCTATCTGAGTCAACAGAATCTGAAATATGATTTCAAATATGTTCCTAATTACTGTGATATATAAAAAGAAAATTACAAAAAAGAAAAAAAAAAACGATATGTAGTTTGATAAGAAGGAAGAGGTAATAATGGAACACTTCTTAAGACACTTAACGGTTATAAAGATGATCAACAAAAAATTGTCAACAAAACACTGATAATTTCATTTTGAAATTTACCACAATTTAAAGAGAAACCTTTATAATAACTAAATATATATATTTAAAAGAGAAGCAATCTTGTCACTGAATTACATGCTTTACATAATATGTATTTAAAGTTAAGAAAAGAGTATATAATAGAAAAACAAAGGATATGAGGTATCCATCGATGACACAAAATCAGTACATGCACAGCATATAATTCAATTTTTACCATGAATATGTCATTTCTTTATATGTGTTACCCCGTCATTAGTTATATAAGGACACAAATTAGAAAAAAGGTACTGTTAGGGTTTTGCTGTTCCATTTTAAATTATCACTTTTAACTTTTAAGGATAATTTCATTTTTTAGTATTTCGAGAGATCCAAAATGTCAATACCAATTTTAGATATCAAGTTAATTTCATTACGTGTATCAAATGTATTTTGGTAATTTACAAATTCTTCATCGAATGTTCTGAAGAATGTATGTATATCACGGATATTCAAGCGATTCCTTCAGTCTTTTGTTTGTTACCTGTATTTGTGTTATCAATCGATTTATGAAATTTGGACATCGGTGAACCACTGTTACTTAAATATCCCCAAATTACTATTGTAAATGCGGTACGAGTGCGATAACGGATATTTAAATTAAACCAATTATCGGCCCACCAAGGGCTTGTTTATATAATGATTAGAAATAGACATATGTAAAAAAAAAAAACAATAATGATAATGCTTATGATAATACGGATTTGAAGCTTGATTTGAACTTTACATGTATGTTACGTAATTGTCAATACATACACAGCGTTAACATTTTACTAATTTTAAGCTGATTGAAATTTTATTACCATATTATGCCTAATTTAAAAGCAAAATTAAAAGTAATCTATGGATAATAGAAAAACATCAGGAAAATATAGATACAACAAACGGTTTCGAGATTGATTAAACGATTTTGTTTTAGATTTCTTTGACAAGTATTCATTCACAAATAATTTCATAAAACAGGTTTTGAAAGAAATTGTTTTCAATTCTCAAATGTTTTGCGTGGGATGTTCTAATTTCTCCATAGAGGAATTACTTGATCCCATTAAGCAAATATGACAAGAATCAATCATTTCAGTTCATTAAGCAATGTTTAAATTGACATTTGAGAACTGTATTGATTTTACCAATAAACCAACCTTAATTTATTTCTGATTAAAATATGAAGATTCACAAAATCGGCATTCCCTCATTTTTTCAAGAGTAAAAAGTTGCATATCTAGTTTTTTTCTTCAATTTTTGTTTTATGTATCAGGAACGTACATATAACATATATGTGATTTTTATGCTTTATTCGTTTCAACATGAATAAGAGGATGCATTGTTGTGGAGGTCAACGTGAAATACAAATTAAAGTCTAAATAAATGCTTTTTTAAAACTCATTTACTGATCAAAGATACCAGTCTTATTATTAGGTACATCAGACGCGCGTTTCATCTACATATCCTTCATTCGAAATTTATTTAAACATTTGATGAATATTTTACTCAGTGGCATACGTTTGCTATATTCAATTTCTCCTAAACGTTACAGTCAATCTTAAGTTCCATAAAACAATTTGATATGTAACAGGGACTCCTCAGTGTCTGTTTCCTCTATTTATGAAAACAATTTGATATGTAACAGGGACTCCTCAGTGTCTGTTTCCACAATAGATGCCGTTCTAGGATCAAGAGAAATTATATGGCTCTGAAACCTGGCTAAATAAATAAAATGATTGTAACAACAAAGGCTGAACTTTATAACCGAAAGTTAAACTTGGATGTGTACTTATTGATATCTAAATCTTAGATACGTGATTTTTTATTAGTTGATATTGGCTTTGGACTAGTTTTCAGAAACTGCGAGTACTCTCATATCATTACTTTGGACTAGTTTTCAGAAACTGCGAGTACTCTCATATAATAACTTTGTGTCATTAGTCATTAACTTTTTATTGTGTTTGCTTTGTGTCGATATGATAAGTCCAGCCTTTTCAACAGATTTGTCATAGTTTGCAGTGGTAAGGGTTCATCTTCGCCGTAATCAGTATGTGCCTGTCCCAAATCAGAATTCTGTTATTCAGCCGGTTGCTGTTTGTATATCATATTTGTTTTCCGCTTATTATTTGTTACATAAATAAGGCCGTTATTTTACATTTCCCATGTCTTGGCCTTTTATAACTTGCTATAGGATATGGGTTTTGTTCATTGTTGAAGGCGACCTGTACGCTGACCCGACGGGTGCCACATGTGGAGCAGAATCTGCTTACCCTTCCGGAGCACCTGAGATCACCCCCAGATTTTTGGTTGGGTTCGTGTTGCTTTGTCTTTAGTTTTCTATGTTGTGTCATCTGTACTATTATTTGTCTGTTTGTCTTTTTATTTTTGGCCATGGCGTTATCAGTTTGTTTTCGATCTATGAGTTTGACTTCCCTCTGGTATCTTTCGTCCCTCTTTGCTAACTTCTACGCCATTGGTCTCAGATAGAGTATTTTCTTATTGGCAATCATACCCCATTTTCTTATTTTTATTTTGAAAACTTACCACAATATTCATCTCTACCATTATCACAGTCCTTTACATTGTCGCATAATGACGTCATCGGTATACACTGTACCGGAGAGCATTGATATTGAGAATCATGGCAAAACACTACAAAAAAAGATATTCAAGTTTTTTCTAAAGAGTATATCAAAATCATAGATGTAATCATGAGAAAAAAACTAAATTTGAAATAAAGAAATCAAATATGTAAAAACAAAAATGTTTTATCCGTCGGAAGTTCATTTCCATTGTGGAGAGTTACCTACCAACTCGGGATAGGTCGCCAACTATTTTTGGTTCTCGTTTTTTCTTTTATAAAGCACAAAGCAGGCCTCAAACAGCAAATTCTAACCAAATTGTTTATCTGGGCTTTTTTATAACTAACATTCGGACATAAGTCTTTGTAAAGGTCATACGGTAGGTAACCTAGTGATACTCCTTTTGATGTCTTCAGTGTTTTGGCGGTCTCGTTGGCTATCATAACTACAACTTGATCTTTTAAATAAATAATTTGCCTGACAAAGAAATTTTGTTATCAAATTGTAAATTATCTGACAAGACAGGCAGCAAACTGATATGACTGAATTTGGTAACCATGATGGCCGTATAATGACCTGCAGATTTTTTTTTCTGTAAACTTGATTTAAACCCTGCACAATTAAGTTACCAATAATATGATAACTATGTTGATAAAAGAAAAGAAAAAACAACATATCTATTACTCCGGAAAGTAGTGTAAAAATATACTAGAATAAGGCATCAATGTATGCAACAAAGAAGGACACGCATGATAATTACGTAAAACAGAGAAGACTTGGAAGCTTACAAAATAAATAGATAAAACATGTGTCTATTTCCTGGGAATTTTTGCTTCGCATCACGGTGTGGAGCTATTAGTTTCAGTCGACATACACGCCAGCTTGAAATAATTACTTATCACATATAGATTCTGGTTGGTTGCTTTATGATGCGGCTGAGATACGGCAACAGCTATTGGTTTAAATGAGATAAAGAATTACAGACTTTTCTCGTCTCAGGATAAGACATCAAATGCCGGAAAAATTAACTATGGGTATTTCAGTTCCGATCAACTGTCATTAATTCATGTTCGTTTTATCATAGATATAAGAAGATGTGGTATGAGTGCCAATGAGACAACTCTCCATCCAAGTCAAAATTTATAAAAGTAAACCATTATAGGTCACAGTACGGTCTTCAGCACGGAGCCTTGGCTCACACCGAACAGTAAGCTATAAAGGGCCCCAAAAAATTACTAGTGTAAAACCATTCAAACGAGAAAACCAACGGTCTAATCTATATAAAAAACGAGAAACACTTATGAACCACATCAACAAACGACAACTACTGAACATCATATTCCTGACTTAGGACAGGTGCAAACAAATGCAGCGGGTTTAAACGTTTTAATGGTACCAAACCTTCACCCTTTTTCTGAAACAATAGTGTAACATCACAACATAGAAAGACACACTATAAAATATGCATATATTGCACACTGAAATTCAATATTGAAATATCAATTATTAATACGTGTGTATTTGCTTTGTTTATCTGCAGTATGCATGATTTGTTTTTCTAAACAATGTTCCTATACAATGTTTACGATAAGCATTATCTGTATTTTATAACTTCTGCCAATCTAGGCACACCTCCAGAGAGGCACACTTCCAGAGTCGTGTCCATTTGTAAATGTTTTAGTTTTCAACAACTCAAGTGAAAAAAAATTTAAAAGCATGGATGTATAACGCACACTCTTAAAGTAAATCCATTTTATATCAATCAATATCTAAAAAATACCACATTTTCAATACTAAATCAACAACCACATGCACACATATTACCTTAAATTATGATAGAGCGAAGCAGTCCACAGCTTTTAAAAAAGCTCAAACTTGTATTGCTTTAAGTTTGGTAATGGTATATGTGTATTGTAAAGGTAATGCGGCCAACAGAGATGTTGCGATGTTCTTTTGGACGTTTTTTGTGTTTCGACAGGTAGCTGTTAACTATCATAATAAACTTCTACTTATTTTTTTAAATTACTTTTCAAAATGAAATTCCGGATTATTATACAAATAAACAACTGAATCATGCATACTAAACACTCGAGAAGGGGCATTAATCAGACTGTAACTTAAAGGTTTAAACAAATCTCACTTCAAACAAAAAATCCAAATAATTGAATCAATACTGAAAACAAGAGATAAAGATACAGATTATATGATACATACGACATCAATTAACAGAAAAACATGCATAAAAGAAATCCATTTAAACATTTACAGGAAAAGCACTCAACTCTAAAATACTGGTATGACAGATGACAAAAACACAAATAAAAAACTCCAAACAATCATATAGTAGTAAAGAATGTTCGCGGTGATTGAAAACCAGTCGAAATAATCGGCTAATAAGACATTATGGTGTCCTAGATTTGATATCGGTTCTGTATTCTATCGGAGATTTCATTCAGTATGTGAATAAACAGAACAGGAAAACATACAGAGACTAAAATAAAATGTATAGAAAATTATAAACCAATTAATCAAAGAGCAATTGAAGGTCTTTCCACCACTGAATTTCAAAATCATTGAGAAAGAAGTCACTTCCGGTTAACTCAAAGTTACTACTGGCGTCAAATCATAGGTTTCTTCCTACTGATTCAAAAAATATATGGTTTCTATATCCTTTTGTCTGAAATAAGACAGATAATCTGATACTTTCGGTTTAAAAAGTTTCACTTCCGGTCTCATATGATAGCTTTAGACACACTGATTCCAAAAAAATATGGTTTCTATATACTTTACTTGGAATAAGGGAGATAAATTGCAACTTCCGGTTAAAAAATCTCAATTCCGGTACCATCCTATATGTTACTTTACACTGATTTCAAAGATATATGGTTCTAGGTAATTCTAAATGAAATCAGTGCAGGAAATGGCTACTTCCGGTTTACAAAAGGTCACTTCCGACTTAACGTTTCAAGGTAATATATCTGCCAACCTGGAGCAGAAGACCCCATAGCTTTATCGTGTATAAAAATGAATTTATAGCAAAGGTCAAAATCTAGACCGTCAAATTTACCTTTGACCTTGACCTAAATTTCAAGGTGATCAACCAAGGACCTAAAATCAAAAGACCCTATGTCTGTACTATATATGGTTAATGAGTTATATCACAATACAGCTAATTTTAGATATAAGAGGGGAGAAAACTCCTATTAAAAGTCAACATACCCTTTCAACCAAAGTATATGTGTTGCGACATTTCGTAGCAAACATTTAAGTAAAAATATTCTGTCGATATCTTATACAGTTTATGATGAGAAGCTATCGTAAGCCAAAATCTAAATTCAAAACATGATCTTGACCTTTGACCTTGACCTGATTTTCTTTTTGATGGACCAGGGACCCAAAATCAAAAGATCCTAGGTATCCATTACCTATGGTTTACCAGTTACAAATACATATATCCCTTATAACAAATACATAAGGAGAAATAACTCTCATATGGAGTCTCCGAATAGCTTCGGTCAAATTTTAGAATAAATCCTGAGGAAAAAACGAGCAATTTGGAAAAATAAATTTGTCGCTATCTTTTATGGTTGTGAAGTAGTAGACATAACAGGTAAAACAGTGTTTGGGGAGATAACTCTTACACGAAAAAGTGTTCGGTTAAACGGTGCCAGTTTTAAAAATGTAGAAACTGTTCGATATCATATACCAAATATCTAAGCGATATCTTGCAAAACACAATCTTGTCACAAGAAATAAAAGTGGCGGAAGAAAAAAATAATAATAATCAGAATAAAATCAATAGGTCTTTCTACGGAAAAGTGGAAAGACAAAGTTAATAGGTCTTTCCACGGAAAAGTGGAATTACCTAATAATCAGAACAAAATCAAAAGGTCTTTCCACAGGAAAGGTGTAATACCACCAAATCATACTACATCACATCCGGTTGAATACGAAAAAGGGTCGAAAAAAATATTCCTTTGAATTTGACAGTTGTAGGAAATTAGTCCTACATTTCATTGCAGTAAAAAATTTCTGAGTCATAAACATATATCTTGGGTGGTTCAAAGCACCATTCTTTTTTATTTGGTGTTTCTATAGAATATTTTTGAAACTTGAGGTTACATGGTTACTAAAGCTTGTACACAGGAAAAAAGGGGTGAATAATTGATTAATGCTGGTTAACTTCCAGTAATGGTTATTATCTTATATGCAATGAAATGGTATGTGAAATTTTGTCTGTAGTACTGGACAGGGTAAAACTTTACTCATGCCAAGTATTGCTTTATTTGAAACAAAGATAAATTCTGCACAATTTTTTGAAAAGTGCAAATTTAACGAAGACTAATAGGGGAAAACAATGGTGGTATTACACCTAAAAGAAACATTTTAGTCAGACTATACATTAGCGAATTCTTATGTATCACTAATACCCGACCCATTGATTGAACAACAACAGTATAATCATAATCTTTATCAATAAGTCTATTATACCAAGTACACAGTTTGATGACCGTATGATGACATGTAGATGTCAACAGTTGGCAATCAATAGTGAACAAATATATGACCATGTATGTCCATATGTGTTTTACAATGCTCATAGATGTCACCCCCATGCCTCTATTTTTAAACAATATTTTTGTTTTCACATGACATGCGATACACTACTGCAATTTTGACAAAAACTGAATATTATTATTTCATTTTTATTATAATTAATATGAGGAGATTCTGGAGGACCCAACCTTATAAACAAAATTTAATTTGAAAAAATCATAATATAAGTCATGTCATGCAAATTACATTTTCTGACAATGACAAGGTATTGACAAGTCTGGAAATGATAAAGGAAAGCTGTCATAAACAGAATCAATTAATATCACGACAGAGGAGATATATAATGCTGTAACATATCAATTATAACTTTTATCGTATGAAGTAGAAATTTTTAAAATCAAATATTTGCTTCTATTTCACAGACATCAGGACACCGAAGGCTTGTTGAATATTAAACTAAATCGGAGAAACAGTTTTCTGCGAAGTACATTCGTTGTCCGATTGTAATTAGTATGTCACTGTTTTTGTGGAGTTCGTGTTGCTCAGTCTTTAGTTTTCCATGTTCTGCTTTGCAGATTGTTGATTGTCTTCCCGTCGTGTTTCATTTTTTGCCATGTTGTTGTCATATTTTGTAACACTTATGGTCTTTTTTAGCCCCAATTGTATCTGCTGCCTTTTATTGAGTTACTTTTTGAGATTCTAAGGAATTACTACCCCAGGAATAGATTGCCGTAGCTGAATTTGGCAAAACCTTTCGGAATTTTTGGTCCACACTGCTCTTCAGCTTTGAAGTTTATTTGGCCTTTTTAACATTTTGTTTCGAGCGTCACTGATGAGTTTTTTGTAGACTAAACGCGCGTCTGGTGTACAAAATTTTAATCCTGGTATCTATGGTGAGTTTACTATTCATATGATCCTGCATCGACCACTTTGTACGTATGATTTCTGTTGAGATGAATATAAAATTGAGAATGGAAATGGGGAATGTGTCAAAGAGACAACAACCCGACCAATGAGCAGAAAACAGCCGAAGGCTACCAATGGGTCTTCAATACAGCGAAAAAATCCCGCACCCGGAGGCAGGTCTCAGCCGGCCCCTAAATAAAATGTGTACTAGTTCAGTGAATTTGCTAATTTTGAATAGATATAAGAAAATTTTGTATGAGTGCCAATGAGACAACTCTCCATCCAAGACACAATTTGTAAAAGTAAACCAGTATTCAAAAGTACGGCCTTCAACACGAAACCTTGGCTCACACCGAACAGCAAGCCATAAAGGGCCCCAAAAATGACTAGTGTAAAACCATTCAAACAGGAAAACGAACGGTCTAATCTATATAAAAAACGAGAAACGAGAAACATTTATGAACCACATCAACAAACGACAACCACTGAGCAACAGGTTCCTGACTTAGGAGCACTTTTTAGACAAAGTCAGATGTTTATGCTTTTGTTGAACTATTGCTTCTATTCAACAAACACAACATTAACTAATCTAAAACACATTTTGTGATCAATTGGTTCAGAATTTCTCAAGAAGAACATCAAGATATTTATGTAAATAAACAGATGTATCTTGATTGCCAGTGAGACAACTATATACAAAGACATAAAGAACAGGATATCGTACGACCTTTAACAATGACTAAAACACAAACCTAAACCTAAACCAAAAACAGCAGCTTGAAACAAAATTTGAAATAATTCAAAATAGAAAACTACAGGCTTAGTTAGGGTCAATTACATCAAAAATGTGTTTTACGGTAGATGGCAACAGAAGGACAACCAGCTGAAAATAGCTTGACTTATCAGATTGACATTTAGCACATAACCAACAAACAAAACAACAGAGAACACAAATTATCTATCTTAAGAGTATACGTTCTGGCAGTTAATGAAAGTTGGCTCAATGACCAATTTCAACAAAACGAAATCATAATGTCAAGATGGAACAATCTTATTATATCTAGTTTCAGTTAGAGAAGCGGTTCTCAAAGATTTTTTGTCAAAGTTTAATCATATTTTAACGCAGTGAATTTGTAAGAACCAATTATGAAAAAGCAACCGACTCAATATATAAAAAGACATATAAGGTCAATAATAAAAAGAGTCCATACAAGATGTCAAGCTCTAAATCATCCCGTCTCAAAAAGTGAAATAAACTTTAGTGATTGTCAAAGATCTTCCATTAACACTAAGTCCCCATAATACAAAAATAATTGACTTTGACTAAATTACTGGCGTAGGTTTTTGACTGTGGAATAGGTATATGAGAAAGTGTCGGGTTCAAACTAGCCATCTGAGCAATTAGTTTTCACCAAAAAGGTCGACTTGTGGAACAAAAAACGTAAGCAGAGGAACACACAATACAAATACGTATAGAAAAAAACACACAACTCTACTATACCAATACCATAGACAATAAGAATACAATAAAAAATAATAAATAAATAACAATGATCAATTCGATATCATCATCATAGAAGACAACCAACTATAGAACAGCGATTCACCAATCTTGCCATAATATTTGTATGATCATTACCGTCATATATTGGTCTAAAACCTATCTACGATCCCTTTCCGAGTTGAATAATGGAGTACGTGTTGACACCAGTTTGATATAACTGTTACTGGCGGTCAGACCCTAAAGATATCATTTCGTGATTAGTCAGTATATTGATAAATTTTGTAAACACCAAGGTGTTTTTATTTTGATTATATGTCTTCCCATACCTTTATACTTATTTGGCTATCCTAAATTTTTACTCTGGGAGATTAAGCATAATTGAAGGCAACATATTCATACATTTATAAATTCACAAATTAGCGGAATATTGGTCTGTCAATCTAGACCAACAACTCTCTGCAATTTTGTTAAGAAATATTTCTGTTATATTTGGTTTTAATTACTTAGAAATAAGAAGATGTGGTATGAGTGCCAATGAGACAACTCTCCATCCAAGTCACAATGTGTAAAAAGTAAACAATTATAGGCCAAAGTATGGAAAGTTCTTGCATGATTCATATACAGTAGTGTCATCTGTTTGTTTCACATGAATGTAAATGCAAATATGAATTTCTCCTGTAGTAGCAATACTAGTTGGATGACGGACGCACAAATTACAGTTAAAACCTTTGATTTTTTTTATATTTAAATATTTTTCCAATGATCGTTTTAAATTTTGAGAACATAATACGAGAATATCTCTTTGAGATCGGGGCTTCGGTGACCTAGTGGTCTATATAGTTCATCAATTGTGTCACTTGCCCGTAAACACTGAGGTTGTGAGTGCAAACCCTACACATGGCAGGTACGTTCGACGCCATTCTTAATTGATAAGGATTGTCAGTTTTCCTGCCGAAGGTCGGTTGTTCTATCAGGACACTCTGGCTTCCTACACCAATAAAAACTGACCGTTCAGATATAGTCAATAGTGCGGAAATTGGTGTTAATTTTATACAAATAAGACGATTTATTCTTTCCTACTATTAATGGTACTTTTCTTAGTCAGATTTTAATTGTTAAAATTCCACATTGCCATTCATTTAAAACTATCAGAAAGCCTTTAAGAAGTGTTTTGCCATTACACATTAACTTGAAGCGTCATTCATTCTTAACACCCATAATACAGTTTAACATCTTTCAATGGACATGCGGGTAGCGCCGACATAAACATTTAACGACTCAGAATTCCGTAAATATGAGAAACAGTTATTGCTCTTTTTATAGACGCAAATCATGAAAAGATATAAATATAGGCTTCAGAAGTTTATCGATATCTTTTTAAAAAGTATAAAATATGAAAACAACACGTTAAATAATTTCATGCGTCCGAAGTATCTCCTTTCTTTGACGATAATTAAGAAATTTTCAAGGACTTTTGAATATTGCTAAAATTATAAATGCATATCAATGATTTTATCATTACTTCAAACGACCATCTACATAAAACACTTAATAAAATCCACCGTTAAAGTACTGAAACCACTATGACAATAGAAGATATAAACAAGTCAATCCCACAGAAACAACTGGTATATGCAAAATAAATTAAAAGTTATCTGTCCTCTGGGAATACAAAATACGCATTTAAAATTGATTTTGCATAAAACGACTGCAAGTAATTATTATAACTTGCACGTGTAGGCGATTCATTACTTTTAATCAAAATGCGTTCGATCATAATATGAATATACATAAACATATTATCGTAGATTTATGTCAAATAAATAGGTATATATGGAGAGTTGTCTCATTGGCACTCATACCACATCTTCCTATATCTATATACGTATAGACTAGTTGGTCGAAAGCTCTTACGCGCTTACACAGTATGCAATTCTTGAGTTCAACTCCTGTTGAGGATAAAAGCTCAAAAATGCAGGCCTAACATCAATGGACTCAATTCAAAAATGAAAAGGTATATACAAATGTGAATCAAGATAGTGCAATGAGCAATCTTAAATGTAATAAATAGATTTATTTACCTTTATTTTATTTGCCAAGATCTTATTTGTTGCTTTTAATTTTTTATTACTTAAAATGTCTTAGTTGCACACTATATTTAGTATAGGCAACAGAGCTTTTAATTGACACTTTAATGAAATTATAAGATGTTTGAACAGTATGTACATACAATTAGAAAAAAAATAAATAAGTCCCTAGACATAGAAACTAGCACACATATACTAATAATGGTCGCCTTAAAGACATGCCAATGATTAAATGAATAGCTGAAACGTCTGGTGGTGCTCTTCTGCTTTTCTTTTATTATTGTTATATGAATTTACCTACCTGGTGTGCTCGATTGTATTTCAATATGACCTTCAACTATCTGATCAAAACGTCTTTTGATCATGACCCATAATACGTTTGACCTCGACACTATTTCAATATTCTCTGTGTGGTCACAAAATTGGTATGAGGTTAACGAAGCTCTATCTGGACGATATTTGTCATTTCCGACACTTAGATACCCATGTTGACAGCCAATTTTGGTTGGTTTATAAACGATTTTCGCTCGCAAACGAAGTCCAGGATATGTAATAAACATCTTACAGGAAGATGAAAATTGATGTGTGAAAATTGCTGATTCATGATCAAAAGTCCCCGATGTGAATGTAATTATAAAATGTCCTTTGAATATAAATTCCTGGTCATCACAGGACTTCAAAATTCCTAAAACAGAATGAATATTGCTTATTGGTAAGGGAAAATGTTAATTTTTTTTTCATGTCTGATGACGTCACATTTTTGGGTTTTTTTTTAATTGACCCTTGTATGATAAAAAAAACCTACATTCATAAACATTTTAAGTAATTAAAAGTACATGCACAAAAGAAATGTTTAATCATTCCCTTGTATTTCATTTAACAAAAAACATATATGTATTTAAATAGTTTTCTGCACAGAGCTGTCTGTCGATTTGAAGCCTTTTTACGTCACATGAGGTTTGGGTACGGACCAAGTTTTCCCTTCGTTATGTTTAAGAAGGGATAGGGGTTACGTATACAGTTATTTTAAGGTTGTCTAAATAAGAACAAGAACACATAAATTGGAATAAAGTGTAGAGGATCGGACATGAACCTTACATTTGTGTACTAAAGGCAGTAAAAATGTCAAAAGAAATAAAGTGATCTCAGAAATGGCACTGTTCGATGTGCATTACAAAGCAGTACAACGAGTGAGTCACGTTTATGTCGAGTGTTCAAAAAAGAACATCTATCTTTCTTTCCTTAAAAACACTTTTTTGCAAAAAAAATCATATCAACCATGCGTTAATTCAATAAATAAATTTTATTAATACTAACTTACCTCTTCGATCAAAATTCAATACTCCACCAATGAATAATACTACGAATACTACAAAAGAAAAGGGATTTATCATTTCAACCTGGTTCAATATTAGGAAAATGAGTTGTCACCATCCCGAAGTCATATACCAATTTGTCAACGCTGTCACAATGATATCAAGGATCTAAAATATGTTTTGATAAATCCATCCAATCATTAATGGAATTATTCCTTAGGAATAACCGCAAGCCGTTTTGCGATGTGAAAAATCATGTTATCATACACGTCTTGAACCAACTTAAGACACCGTAAATAAATGGATGACAACCTCTAATGAACAAAACTGGAAAATTGATTTCAATCAATCTGTGAAAAATCGAACTGGGAAATTTTATAATTGCGTGTAGGAGTATGTATTAAAGTTACAGACTTAAATGCATTAAAATAACAGCTTACAGCATCTTTGTAATCAAACCTAGAAAATATCATTTATCCTGGGAAATCTAAACACTGGAAAATTATGATATAAGTAACATAATACAGTATAATCATCATGTCAAATCCGCTGAGTTAAAACGACAAGCAACAAATTACAATAGATTTGATGCGAACATTTCATTCAACGTCTTTTGTTGTATCATCAATTTGGTATCGGATTTCGTGCATTTAAGATCCGTGTTTTTATTTTCTTCTTTTGAAAATAGAAATGAATAAGATTTACCTACCAATCTAAAGTACGTTAATGCATTATTCATTTTTCATTTCTCAGAATTCAATAATTGATTTTTCCATAAGCATCTGACACTGATGATATGTTTACTTGTATTATGACTGTTAGAGACTAGCTACAATCAAGTGAAAGTTAAAACCATAGAACGTTATATCTTTTGAATAATCAGAATTGTTAATATAAGAAAGTATTCAGGTTTACGAAAAGCTGATATACTATTGAGAAAAATCTCCATATCTTAGTTGGTTTGTTTGAACCCATCCCCTCTTTATGAAAATCAGTTTGGATGAAAGATATGAATAGAAGACCATTTATTCCTATTCTTTGCTTAGTATATGTATATAATAAGTTGTAGAGCGATCTACTAACAGCAGTAAACGGATACCAGAATGGTACAAGAAATAATAAAATCGAAAATATAAGGGCTTTTTTATGGGTACTATAAAATATTCACTTCGAGAAAATCATTCACAGGGCAATATTTAAAATAAAATGCAGTTATTGTGATTATTGTCTTTCTAGGAGGGTGTTCATGTTACATTTTGTTTGTTTATCTTTATTTTGTTATTGTCTGTATACCGATGTTATGTTGTTCCAGTCTTCTTTTATTCCACTGCGCGAGATTAAAAGGTTGAGATATAAAAAAAATTAGTTTAACTTCGTCACATGTTTCTGTCCCGAGCCAGGTAGGCGGTTGTCTTTATTAATTATATTTGTTTTTGTTGGGGAGATGTTTTCGGGAATTTTGGAGATGATGGGTATCTGTTTTCAAAACTTTTCTATTTTAAAAGGTTAAGAGCTTGACATTTTGTATAGACACGTATTTCATGTTTCAGATCGAATATTGACCACTAAATATCTTTTATTTTTGTGTCCCGTACGGTACGTTGGATTGCTGTCTCATTTACATATATCCCACATATCCTTTTTATTCGTACCAACAGAGTCTCAATATAAAAATAAGGAGAGGTGGTATGATTGCCTATTAGACAACTATCCACCAAAGTTCAAATGAAGTTGATGTAAGCAATAAAAGGCAACCGTACGGCCTTCAACAATGAGAAAAACCAATACCGTATCAAATGGTCGGCTATAAAAGGCCCCGACATGAAAAGTATGAAACAATTCAACTGAGAAAACTAACGGCCTAATTTATAACAAATCAATTTACGAAAAACAAATATGACAGACATGAACCAACGACAACCACTGAACTACAGGCTCCTGACTTGGGACTGGCACATAAAGAATGTGGCGGGGTTGAACATGTTTGTGAACGCTCAACCCTACCCCTAACCTGGGACAGTGGTGTTACAGTACAACATAAGATCAAACTATAAAAATCAGTTGAAAAAGGCTTAACTCATCCGATGGATACAAATAGAAATACATCTAACAGAAACACAGAGTGGACGTAGACCCTTGTACGTCCCAAAAACGAGAAGACACTAAGTACAGATCTGAGAGTACTCGCAGTTACTGACAGCAAGTTTAAAGCCAATAACAAGTAATGAAAAAAATCATGTATCTAAGACTAAAATATCAATCAGTACACATCCAACATCCAATTGATTTAGTGTAAAGACGTCATTAACAGTCAAAGAAAAACATAACCTTGTGCAATGCCAAACTATAAGTATCGACAGATTGTAGTACCGTGAAAGTACATATGTGTCAATATTTATGCAAATAAAACTATATTCAAAGATTAAATTTCAGTGTTGAATAGGTAACCTTTTAGAACAAGTTTATTAAAAGGATTGATAAGTTTACCCGGATCGAATCTATATTTCTGGGCTCGGTTTATTACATCACCGTAAAATTTAGGATGTGCCATTCCGTTTGAAATAAGTTTTCTTCAGGTACAAGTATACTTGCAAACCAAATCTTTGTATCCATGAAAGAATTTAGTAAAGGTTTTAAGTAATATGTGGTAACGAAATCCCTGACTTAATAATTTACTAGTAATACATAGATTACGCTCATTAAAATCCAAAATGTAATACAGACACGAGCATAGCGAACGAGTTGGGATATATAAACACCGTAAGACGGTGCCAAAGTAACATCACCGTCCAAAAAGGGAAAATTAACAATAGGGAAAGAAAAATCATTCCTTTTGTCGTACATTTTTTTTCTGTAGAGTTTCTGGTGTAATACTGAAATAAATAAATCTAGGAAAGGACGGTTATTGTTGTTGATATTAGATTTCTTTAAAGTAAGTTCCTTTGGATAAATTTCAGCGTTGCCTTTTTGATTTTATTGTAGTATTGTATTGTTGTCTGATTGACCTTAACATTGACTTTCATTAATACTCTAGAATTCACCAGTAGATTAATAGAAACAGCTACAAAAGAACAGAATAAACCAATAAAACGGACATCAACAGTAAGTCAATCTTTTTTCCGAAATGCAAATTAACACCCCGAAAACATAAGTTAAATAGGAATCTGCGACTTAATGCTCGATATGTTCTTGACTTTAACAGGTTTTTCATTTGTCCCTTTTGCAATATAGCTTTTGATTAATAATCTGCTATTCTAATATATAATATATTTTGTTTTCCAATATTATAACGCGTCGTTTTTCTCGATATAGAGTTTCCGCCTCGAGCGCAGAAGGACGTGGGCTCGATATCTGGCTAGGTCAAATCAAATGTCATGGTATGAACTATATTTCTTGGAATAGCAGATTTCAAATGGACTTAATCGATACATAACATATAAATAATACATGTAGAAAGATGAGACAGAAACAAGTACATGACATTAGCTATATTGAAAATTTTATATTAAAGTTTTATCTAGTTTTAAAAGACAGCACGGTTATAAATGTAAATAATATTTTTGATCATAGTGATATAAATTTAAGAAACAAGGAAAAAGCTATTTCGCGTAAAAGCAACTATGCAACTGTTCTTTTCCGTTTCAGATGCAAATATGTCAATGTGTAATGTTATAAAAAGCCAATTATGGTATTAAGTGGAAAATGAAAATGTCTGCTCTTTACAAAGATCATACTTAATTTTATTTAGATTGGTCATGTCAGCGATAATGACGTACTTCCATACGTTCACTATGTGAATTATTTGTGTCGACATCAAAATTGGTTTCATGATATTTAATTTGCAAGAAATAAAGATTACAGCAAAAGAAACCATCAACCTTGCTTACGCAATACCATGTTTAATTGAGATTGAATACCATTATATAATTCTGAAATAAGTCATTTATCTTGATGTCTTGATATAGTTATTATATGCTTATTTCATCGACCGTAATGGAAGTTTCATGCGTAATCGTGTAAAGAATACACCCACTCGTAATTCAAAGTATCGAAATACAGGGAGAAGGTATCAAAACAAGAGAGGCGAAAGATACCAAAGGGACATTCAAACTCATAAGTAGAACATTAACTGACAACGCCATGGCTAAAAAAGAAAAAGATCAACAGACAAACAATAGTACACAAAACACAACATAGAAAACTAAAGACTGACCAACACGAACCCCACCAAAAACTGGGGGTGACCTCATGTGCTTCATAAGGGTAAGCAGATCCTGCTCCACATGTGGCACCCGTCCAGTTGCTTATGTTAGTACAAACCCGGTAATAAGTCTAATTTGGTAAGTCACATTCGGGGAAAAGGGGGCGGAATTGTACGGATGTCAAGTTGGTTCAATATTAAACTTTCAACATTCAACATTAAACATGTTTTTTTTTCAACATTCGTTTTCATTTTCACCTTTCGTTTTCAACATTCAACATTCGTTTTCAACATTCTACACTCGTTTTCAACATTCGTATTTCAACATTCAACATTCGATTTCAACATTCAACATTCTTTTTTCAACATTGAACATTGAACATTTAAATACGAATATTGAAAACGAATGTTGAATGATGAAATACGATGTTGAAATACGAATGTTGAATGTTGAAAAACGAATATTGAATGATGAAATACAAAAGATAAATTTAAAAAAAAAAAAAAGATAAATTAAAAAAAAAAAATTGAAAGTTGAATTTGAATGTTGAAAACGAATGTTAAATATTGAAAAACGAAAGTTGAATGTTGAAATCGAAAGCTGAATGTTGAAACTGAATATTGAAAAAAAAAAAATGAAAAAAAAACAAAAAAAAATTGATAACAAATTTTGAATGTTGAATGTTGAAAAACGAATGTTGAATGTTGAAATCGAATGTTGAATGTTGAAAACGAATTTTGAAAGAAAAAATGTTTAACAAAAAAAAATGGAATGTTGAATTTTGAATGTTGAATATTGAACCAACTTGACATCCATCGGGATTGTAGTTACGACAATTGGAACATATCCGCTGTCATCTGTGAAACGGATATTCCATAACGGTCAACCAACTCGTGATGGCGTCCGTAAAATTTAAATAGATCCAAAAAAGAGATTACAACGCATCATTTTCAGCTGATGGCCAAATGAAGTCATTCTGTTTAACGTACTATAAAAATGTGAGACAAAATATTAAGGTTATTCAACATATTGAAAAATTCAAAGTAACGTCAAACAAACAGGTGTCAGACGGATCCGAACAGTTCTTGTCCGTTACAGTTCATCGTTGTCAA